CGGCCCGTGCCCGCTGTTGGCCATCATGAACATCCTCTTCTTGCGTTGGAAGGTAGGTGGAGTCTATGAAAGGACCGCTCCGGGGGGGCAAACTCCGCCCCTCCAGCTGCGGGGGCAACTACAAATCCCATGAGGCATTGCAAAACCGTAGGCGTGACTCCCAGAGGCAGATGCATTGTGGGATTTGTAGTTGCCCCCCAGCTGGAGGGGCGGAGTTTGGTTACCTTTCACACTCCCTATATGTTTGGGAGAAAAGGAGAGGGACGGGGTTCTGTAGTTCTATCTCGTTTCAGAAAGGGGAGGTGTTCTGTAGTCTTGGCATACTCCCCGTTGTAGGGTGACAACGCTCGTTCTCCATGAATACAGCACAGTGAGTGATCGTTGTCACCCTAGGTCAGGTCAGCTTACCTATACAGTGTTCTCTCAAACAATATCATCCCTCCCCTGTTCGGCTCTGGACTGTTTAACACCTCCCCCCCCCATATTGTAAAGCCGGGGATGTGTTTTGTAGTCCTGTTCCCGGGTGACAACGCTGCTCCTCCATTGATACAGTTCAGTAAGTGAGTCACCCCGGGTCAGGAAGCGTTTGATCTTAAACTATATCATCCCTGCCCTGTTCTCCTCTGTGAACTATAGAACACCTCTCTGTATGCTATTAGGATGGGGAGATGTTCTGTAGTCCTGACACACTCCCTGTTCAAAGTGGCAACACTGCTCCTCCATTGATACAGTAAAGTGAGTGTTGTCACCTTAGGTCAGGAAGTGTGTTAGTCATAGAGCTACATGTTGCACTCTTCAGTGTGATCTCAAACGCTATCACCCCTCTCCTTTTCGCCTCTGGACTATATAACACCTCCCTCATGTTATAGAGATCGGTAGGTGTTCTGAAGTCCTAGTACAATTCCTGCGTTATGGTGACAACGCTGATTCTCAACAGTACAGTGAGTGTTGTCACCCTGGGCCAGGAAGCGTGTTATGTAAAGGAATGCACTCTGCAGTGTTATCTCAAACAATATCACCCCTGCCCTGTTCTCCGTGGACTGTATAGCACCTCCCCCCTATGTTATGAAGATGGGGAGATGTTCTGTAGTCCTGGCACGCTTCCTGTCCCAGGGTGACAACACTGCTCCTCCGTTGATATAGTTCAGCGAGCGTTGTCACCCTAGCACAGGAAGTGGCAGGATCACCAGGAGACAAAGAAAACGACTGCAGCCGCCACATCTGAGGACGGGTAATCGGCGATATGAGACGGTTCTGGTCTCGGGGTTGATGTTGAACATCGGCCCTCTTCAGGGATACGGGCCGGTTCTGCCGGCCGGACTGTGTACACAGAGGATTGCACCGCGCCGGGCCTCTGATTACTATAATAACACGCACACTCCCTTTTATTTTTTATGAGCAGCAAATCCGGTTCTTGTTTATTTCCACAACACGTTCTGGTTCCATCCCGGCCTGGGCCCGTCCAGACCCAGCTCAAACCTGCCCGGTGTGTCTGAGCTCATGGAAGGGCCCCAACCACCCCAGCACTCCCTCACCTTCTCTGTGATCACTACAGTGTGCTCTACAGCACCCCCTGCAGGTGGAGTGCGGTACTATGGCCGGACCAGGGAGATGCAAGGAAGCTTTTTGACCTTGAGGCCCATGTGGGCTCTTTGGGCTTGAGGCCTGCGTGGGCTCTTTGACCTTGAGGCCCATGTGGGCTCTTTGACCTTGAGGCCCATGTGGGCTCTTTGACCTTGAGGCCCATTTGGGCTCTTTGGGCTTGAGGCCCCTTTGGGCTTGAGGCCCATGTGGGCTCTTTGGGCTTGAGGCCCATGTGGGCTCTTTGGGCTTGGGAGGCCCATGTGGGCTCTTTGGGCTTGGGAGGCCCATGTGGGCTCTTTGGGCTTGGGAGGCCCATGTGGGCTCTTTGGGCTTGGGAGGCCCATGTGGGCTCTTTGGGCTTGGGAGGCCCATGTGGGCTCTTTGGGCTTGGGAGGCCCATGTGGGCTCTTTGGGCTTGGGAGGCCCATGTGGGCTCTTTGGGCTTGGGAGGCCCATGTGGGCTCTTTGGGCTTGGGAGGCCCATGTGGGCTCTTTGGGCTTGGGAGGCCCATGTGGGCTCTTTGGGCTTGGGAGGCCCATGTGGGCTCTTTGGGCTTGGGAGGCCCATGTGGGCTCTTTGGGCTTGGGAGGCCCATGTGGGCTCTTTGGGCTTGGGAGGCCCATGTGGGCTCTTTGGGCTTGGGAGGCCCATGTGGGCTCTTTGGGCTTGGGAGGCCCATGTGGGCTCTTTGGGCTTGGGAGGCCCATGTGGGCTCTTTGGGCTTGGGAGGCCCATGTGGGCTCTTTGGGCTTGGGAGGCCCATGTGGGCTCTTTGGGCTTGGGAGGCCCATGTGGGCTCTTTGGGCTTGGGAGGCCCATGTGGGCTCTTTGGGCTTGGGAGGCCCATGTGGGCTCTTTGGGCTTGGGAGGCCCATGTGGGCTCTTTGGGCTTGGGAGGGCCATGTGTGCTCTTTGGGCTTGGGAGGCCCATGTGGGCTCTTTGGGCTTGGGAGGCCCATGTGGGCTCTTTGGGCTTGGCAGGCCCATGTGGGCTCTTTGGGCTTGGGAGGCCCATTTGGGCTCTTTGGGCTTGGGAGGCCCATGTGGGCTCTTTGGGCTTGGGAGGCCCATGTGGGCTCTTTGACTTCCAGCCTCGGCACTCCAGCTGTGGTGACCCCACAAGACTCATGAGGCATTGCAAGACTCTGACCCCAGAGTCCCACCATCCCTCTCCCTCTGGGAGTCATGCCTTTTTGTTTGTCAGTCTTGCAGTGCCTCATGGGACTTGTAGTTTCCCCACAGTCGGAAGGTTTCCCGACCCTGTAGCACATCATATGTTGAATGTTTTTCAGTCATTAGTGGACCGAAACGGCAAGTTTTGGTGTCAGCTCTGCACAGTTGTCCTTTGCTGAACTACGGAACCCCTCCACCCCTCCTCGTTTCCATAACCTAGGTTGAGGATGTGCTGGGAGGGCTGATTGGACTGCTTGAGATAACACACACAGGGTACACAGGACTGCTCCGGACTTCCAGCAGAATCGTTTAGTTGTAACCAAACACTTGGAATGTTCCGGAGAAGAAGGGGGGAGACGAGAGGTCCGTTGTTGGGGTTCATGTCGTGTAAGGCCCGTAGTCTGTATAGATGTACATTCGGAGAGGAGGAGTTCCGCTGCATTAATGACTTCAATTATTTATTGGCAGGTAAAGTTACCCCCGCAGAAGGAAGTGGTCACAGCCGAGGAACTGATGGCACATCTTGGTAAGGAGGGAGCCAGACGGGTACTTAATGGGGTACTATATAGAGACCTGAGGGGTATGGACTGCATACTGTACAAGGACCTGGGGGTGTGGCCTGCATACTGTACAGGGACCTGGGGGGGTGGCCTGCATACTGTACAGGGACCTGGGGGGGGTGGCCTGCATACTGTACAGGGACCTGGGGGGGGTGGCCTGCATACTGTACAGGGACCTGGGGGGGGTGGCCTGCATACTGTACAGGGACCTGGGGGGGGTGGCCTGCATACTGTACAGGGACCTGGGGGGGGTGGCCTGCATACTGTACAGGGACCTGGGGGGGGTGGCCTGCATACTGTACAGGGACCTGGGGGGGGTGGCCTGCATACTGTACAGGGACCTGGGGGGGGTGGCCTGCATACTGTACAGGGACCTGGGGGGGGTGGCCTGCATACTGTACAGGGACCTGGGGGGGGTGGCCTGCATACTGTACAGGGACCTGGGGGGGGTGGCCTGCATACTGTACAGGGACCTGGGGGGGGTGGCCTGCATACTGTACAGGGACCTGGGGGGGGTGGCCTGCATACTGTACAGGGACCTGGGGGGGGTGGCCTGCATACTGTACAGGGACCTGGGGGGGGTGGCCTGCATACTGTACAGGGACCTGGGGGGGGTGGCCTGCATACTGTACAGGGACCTGGGGGGGGTGGCCTGCATACTGTACAGGGACCTGGGGGGGGTGGCCTGCATACTGTACAGGGACCTGGGGGGGGTGGCCTGCATACTGTACAGGGACCTGGGGGGGGTGGCCTGCATACTGTACAGGGACCTGGGGGGGGTGGCCTGCATACTGTACAGGGACCTGGGGGGGGTGGCCTGCATACTGTACAGGGACCTGGGGGGGGTGGCCTGCATACTGTACAGGGACCTGGGGGGGGTGGCCTGCATACTGTACAGGGACCTGGGGGGGGTGGCCTGCATACTGTACAGGGACCTGGGGGGGGTGGCCTGCATACTGTACAGGGACCTGGGGGGGGTGGCCTGCATACTGTACAGGGACCTGGGGGGGGTGGCCTGCATACTGTACAGGGACCTGGGGGGGGTGGCCTGCATACTGTACAGGGACCTGGGGGGGGTGGCCTGCATACTGTACAGGGACCTGGGGGGGGTGGCCTGCATACTGTACAGGGACCTGGGGGGGTGGCCTGCATACTGTACAGGGACCTTGTCTGTGTCCTCTTCCTTCTCTTTCTCTCGCCCCCCCCCCAGCATCGGGCCGCTCTTTGTGTTGATGTCCTTCACTGAGAGATGTGATTGGCTCTCTGTTGGCAGCTCTCTCCTCCGCATGTCTGGCAGGTTCTGGTAATCTGGATCTGGCCAAGTCCTCCTCCTGGCGCTGATCTGTTTCCTGAACTCCTGATAAGAGCTGAATAGAAGTTCTGCAGCACAGACGGCGAATTCCTGAGGAGGGGTCGGCGGCTCCTCCTGTACCGAGCAATCCGACTCGCCCTGGACAACCATCTGCCCTGCACCCCTCATGTGTCCAGGCAGAGTGGAATGTCCCGGTGTCCTTACCCACCGCACCAGATCATTGGGTTTAGTCCTATGAGCGCACTTTGATCCCCAAAACCTTGTCCTCATAGCCCCTCTCCAGACAGATATGAACCTCCCCTCTCTTCCCAATCCTAGACCTTTCCTTGAAGAAGGGGGTACACCCCCAAAAACCTTGTCCTTAACCCATCCTGCACATTTCCTATAAGAAGGGGGGTTACCCCCCCTCCCCCAAGGAAATAAAAAAGCTTGATCCCCATCTCCATGCAGATATGAACCCCTTCTACCCCATCCCCCACATTTCCTAGATGAAGAGGGCAGACCCCCAAAACCTTGTCCTTCTAGTTCATCTCCAGGCAGATATGACCCCCCCGCCCTCTACCCCATCCCTCACATTTCCTAGAAGAAGGGGGGTGACCCCCAAAAGCTTGTCCTTATAGCCCACGTCCACGCAGATATGACCCCCCCTTCTACCCCATCCTGCACTTTTTCTAGAAGGGGGTAGACACCCCAAAAGCTTGACCCTATCCCCTCATCTCCAGCCAGATATGAACCCCCCTCTCTACCCAATCCTGCACATTTCCTAGAAGAAGGGGGTAGACCCCAAAAAACCTTGGCCTCATACCCCCATCTCCAGGCAGATATGAACCCCCCTCTCTATCTCATAGAACACTTTTCCTAAAAGGGGGTATACACCTTCTACCCCATCCCCCACATTTCCTAGATGAAGAGGGCAGACCCCCAAAACCTTGTCCTTCTAGTTCATCTCCAGGCAGATATGACCCCCCCGCCCTCTACCCCATCCCTCACATTTCCTAGAAGAAGGGGGGTGACCCCCAAAAGCTTGTCCTTATAGCCCACGTCCACGCAGATATGACCCCCCCTTCTACCCCATCCTGCACTTTTTCTAGAAGGGGGTAGACACCCCAAAAGCTTGACCCTATCCCCTCATCTCCAGCCAGATATGAACCCCCCTCTGTACCCCATCCTGCACATTTCCTAGAAGAAGGGGGTAGACACCCCAAAAGCTTGGCCTTGTACCCTATCCCCAGGCAGATATGAGCCTTCTCTACCACACCTTGCACTTTTTGTAGAAGGCGGAGACCCCCAAAATATATGTACATGCACGCACTATATTTAACAAGAGGCTGATAGCACTTCAAATTCCACTGAACTAAAGCCAAAACCTATATTTGTATTCTTTTGATAGAGTGAGAGGAGGTTTTTAACCCCTGCCAGCTCTTTTTTTTGCCATCTGTGTCCCATTGGGGAGAATTCCCTTCACTTTCTGTCTAAAAGCCACAACAGGAAGTGAGAAGAAATCCCTGGTGGTCACCAAAAACTAGTGTCCCCATCAAAAAAATTCCCACCTATCCCTGTCCTGGTGACAACCCAAAATGTTGGGTTCACTCTCACCAGGACTAATAGGATGAATCACCCCATAGGGGTCCAAGAGAGCAGTGACATCCTGACAGGGGGTCTAATCCCCCTCCAGTCCATCCAAAACGATACAAATGTTCTCTTCCGTTGCACTTTGACCTTCTTGTGTGTGAAGAGACGAGCTCAGTGATGTCATAAGATTACAGATCTGTCTTTGATATCTTCCCGTCGTCCGGGGATAGAAGACAAGTCGGCGGCCATCTTTGTTTCAGGGGTTTGATCTTCTGTAGTGTCATGTGACCTTTCTCTTTGGTGTGACGTGTGTACTTTTTATCTCTTTCAGGGGATTGCATTCTGTCCATCGAGCCGCCGGAAAAATCCGAAGTGCTGCAACTAAACTTTCAGCAGGTCTGTTCCGAGGTGATGACTTTCAGAAACAATCTTGCATTGCTTCCTCCATTAAATTGCCTGCTTTCTGCGGAATGTCAGAGCAGATCTGAATTCCCGTTCATGGCGTATGTCCAGCCACAACTTTCTCCCCCAGATTTGAGTGAAGTGCGGACATATTAGAACCCCTGTAAGGTTTTTTTTTTTGCTATCTGGGGATCTGTTTTCCTCTCACTTCCTGTCTCGCTGACAACGGTTTCACCAGACGGAAAATCTCCCAATAGCAACCCAGACAGAAATAAAAACCTGACGGGTTCTAGACTTCCTGCGAGAGAGAGAGAGAGAGACATTTGTATCTGTGTTGCTGTGAAGGAGATCTCCCTCACTCCCTGTCTGGTAAAATGTTTGCTGGACAGGAAGTGAGGGGAAATCATTCTAACGGAGCCCCAGGTACCCCAATATATCCAGAACCTAGAAAGAAACTTCAGACTGGACGTACCCTTTAAAGTGCATCAATAGCCATAATAGTTACATAGTCATGTTGAGTCCATCGAGTTCATCCTATAATAATAATAATAATTTATAATAATACATTCCCTGAAAAATGAATAAAATGATAATTTTATTTTTTATTGGGAAATTAATATTATTCATAAA